TAAAATAAGAATTAATTCTACAATACATAATTTATTTATTCAATTCAATTACACATATAATCTATATTTTTTTATAAGTTTAACAAAAAAAATTATTTAAATATCTTCACTTGCAACACACGTTGTGTATTACTAACTTAATTTTTATAAAATCAAGTGTATCCTTATACCTTCATATAATTTTTATTTTTATACGCAATTTGACTTTCAAGTTCTTTTTTAACTCTTTTATAAGTAATATGTGACTTTTAGACTCTTTTATAAGCAGTACATTTACATAAAATTTTTAATATTTATGCTATTTCTATTAAAAAACAAAGACGAATTTATATTATATTGTTATATACATATAGTAATCAAATTAGATTCTAAAATCAAATATATATTATATATTTTTTAATAATTAGGTTTAATAAAAAATAAACTATAGATTAATTTTATGATACCAAATTTATCATTTAATATCACTAACAAAAGCACCGATTTTCCATGAGAGAATATCTTCAGTTGAGCCTAGCTTAATCACCTCCAGATTGTCACTTGTAATAGACATATGACGTAACCTAGCTGCATTGACCAACAAACACGCTTCATGAACATCAGTTGCTTCCGAAAATCGACTAAAAACAGCCAAAATATGCTTGGCAATACCAACCTCCAACGTCCCATTAAAACCTTTAAGAATCACCCCAACTACTGCCTTGTCCTTCTTGAATGCATCATCAATCCACAGAGAAAGGGGCTGAAACTGACTTGGATTATACATATTGAGATGAGTCAAACCAACTTGATCCACCACTTGCTTCTTCATAGCAGAACACATCATCTCAGGCCACAAACGCTGAGACCACAACAAAGTGACAAGGGAATTAGGAACTTCATGATTAAACACAAATTTATTTCTAGAATTCCAAATGGCCCAACCAATCGTAGCCACACGCCTCATAAAATAAAAAAAAATCAGAAATTTTCTTGCAACTTTCCAGGCAAACTGAAACCCACATTAAGACCAAAACACAAGCTCCTTGCTCCAATCTCAACCCCAAATCAAACCTTTTTTGTCCATTCACAGTCAAAAAGAATATGCTCGATAGATTCAATATTATCACCACAAATAAGACACCAAGGGGAATCAACACATTTTCTTTTGAATAAATTCTCACGTGAAGCCACAACATTGTTACAAACTTTCCACCAAAAGTGTTTGATCTTAGGAATGGCCTTCTTATTCCATACAATTGACTAGAGTTTGGGATGAGGAGAAAATGAGGAGCAAGGAAGAGGAGAAGATTGAAGACTAACAACAAGTGAATATCCAGACTTAACCAAATACATACCTTTAAAATGCAGTCTCCAAATACGTCTATCAACACCAGGAAACTTTGGAATTGGGATAGCACAAATAGATTTACACTCCTCCTCATTGAACATCCCTCTGATGAGCACATCATTCCATTCTCTATTGTGTTGAGAGATTAATTGATTGACCCAACGAATATTACACTCTTGAGATCTAGGAGATCGAACTGCTCCATCTACAAATTAGGGAATCCACTTGTCCTCACAAAATTCTAATTTTATTGCCTTCCAATACTTGCCAAATAAGGTCTCTTTCAAGAATATCTCTTCCCTTAAGCCGACCATTCCAGACCCAAGAAGGCCTTAACCCCTTCTTAGCCTTCATGAAGTCACTATCAGGAAAAGTAAATAGACTTGATGAATCTTGCCCAAAAGGAATCAGAATTTTGGATTAATCTCCAACACTGTTTAGCAAGTAACGCCTGATTAAAAAGATAAAACTCTTTGAAACCCATCCCCCCTTTGCTTTAGCTTCCACAATTCTATTCCAACCTTTCCAGCTAATTCCTCTCTTGTCCCCTCCATCACCCCACCAAAACCTCCTTACATACTTATTGATCTTGCCACAAAAAAGATTTTGGGGAAATAAAGACTGACATAGCATAATTTGGAATTGATTGGATGACAACCTTGATCAAAACTTCTTTGCCAATTGGAGAAAGAAACAAACTCTTCCACCCTTGCAACTTCTTCAAAATTCTCTCAAGAAGGTAACCAAACAATTCACTCTTTGCATTACCATACAAAAAAGGCAAACCCAAATATTTAATTCCCCTATCCAATAGCCTTAACCCCCAGCAGTTGACAAAACAAAAATTTTTGCTGATCCGTGGCATTTGCAAAAAATATAATACTTGATTTTTGGTGATTCAAACATTATCCAGAGGCAGCACAGTACTTATGAAGAACACCCATGACATTAGAGATATCCTGAACCTTCACTTTAAAAAAGAAGAAAGAATCATCCGCGAAGAAAAGATGGGAAATAACAGGGCTACCTCTTTGCACTTTGACCTCCGAATTTTTTTCTCTTCCACCCCTTTCTGTAACATAGAGGACAGGACATCATCAACTAGGATGAATAGATAAGGAGAGATGGGATCCCCTTGTCGAATAACTCTTTGTGGTAAGACCTCGCAATGTTTTCCCCCATTAATAATGATTTGAAAGCACACAAAACTGAGACATTGGATAATAAGTTGCACCCATCTGGGAGAGAACCCTAACTTAAGCATCACCGCCTCCCAAAAGTCCCATTTAATTCTGTTGTATGCTTTACTGATATCCATTTTGATTGCCAAATCTGGAACCTTACCTTTCTTTTTGAGTCTCATAAAATGGAGAACCTTATTTGCAATGATGATGTTATCTTGGATTTGCTAGGAAAACCATTAGGACCAGGGCCCTAAGTCCTCCTAACTGCATGACTACCTTCTTGACCTCTGCATCCTAGATTGGCTAAAGCAGCATAGCATTCATCTCCTCTGAAATTTTCCTTTCCACTAATCCCAAAACCTCGACAAAATCTCTTTGCCCCACTGAAGAGAACAACTCATGGAAATAAAGTTTAATGTGGTCATTCAACTTCGCCTCATCCTCAATCCAAGTAGCCTCATCAGTCTTCAGCCATTAAATAAGGTTGCCCTGCCTTCGCTGGATAGCCGAAAGATGAAAAAATCTTGTCTTTTGATCCCCCAACATCAACCAATTAATTCTTGATCTTTGTTTCCAGTAAAGTTCCTCCCTTCTTCTAATGTCATCCATCTTAGAAATAATCTCCAATTCCTTTCTTAGATTAACCTCCAAGGTCTCAAGCATTTGTAGCTTTAGCAATTGAGCATTTAATTAGGTCAAAGTCTTTTTCTCGTTGCCAAACTTCTGTTTGCTCCAAGCTTTAAGTTCCTTGCTGCAAAATTCTAGTTGCTTAGACATACGAAACATCACTGAGCCCTGCCTCTTTTCCTCCCAAGTCTTCTTAATGATCTCTTCACACATGTCTTCTTCCATCCAAATAGCCTCAAATTTAAAAGGACCTGTCTTCCTCGTAACGGTTGGCTCCAACATTATGATGATAGGGCAATGATCCGACCCTACCATTGCCTCATGAATAACCTGCATATAGGGATAACACAAGCTCTATACCAGATTAACCAAGATTATCCAGTCTTTCTTACACATTTGCTTCACCTGGTCTATTATTAAACCATGTAAATTTTGGTCCTTTTAAAATTCATATCAATCAGATTACATTCAAATATAAAACCTTGCAGTTTTCCATCTTTTTAGCTCTACATGTTCTCCCCCGTCCCTTCTCCAATAAAAACCCAACAACATTGAAGTCACTTGTGACTAACCACGCCCTTTAGACACAGATGCAAGACTGTTTAAATCTTGTCAAATTCTCTATCTCTAATCAAAATCGTTCTCATCGAATTGAAAGGTGCATTGCCACTCTTGTAATTGGTTCAACCTTCTATCCACAACATTAAAAATANCAATTGAGCATTTAATTAGGTCAAAGTCTTTTTCTCGTTGCCAAACTTCTGTTTGCTCCAAGCTTTAAGTTCCTTGCCGCAAAATTCTAGTTGCTTAGACATACGAAACATCACTGAGCCCTGCCTCTTTTCCTCCCAAGTCTTCTTAATGATCTCTTCACACATGTCTTCTTCCATCCAAATAGCCTCAAATTTAAAAGGACCTGTCTTCCTCGTAACGGTTGGCTCCAACATTATGATGATAGGGCAATGATCCGACCCTACCATTGCCTCATGAATAACCTGCATATAGGGATAACACAAGCTCTATACCAGATTAACCAAGATTATCCAGTCTTTCTTACACATTTGCTTCACCTGGCCTATTATTAAACCATGTAAATTTTGGTCCTTTTAAAATTCATATCAATCAGATTACATTCAAATATAAAACCTTGCAGTTTTCCATCTTTTTAGCTCTACATGTTCTCCCCCGTCCCTTCTCCAATAAAAACCCAACAACATTGAAGTCACTTGTGACTAACCACGCCCTTTAGACACAGATGCAAGACTGTTTAAATCTTGTCAAATTCTCTATCTCTAATCAAAATCGTTCTCATCAAATTGAAAGGTGCATTGCCACTCTTGTAATTGGTTCAACCTTCTATCCACAACATTAAAAATAATACTTGTTCTTATTATCAATACGCAACTTAATATCATCATTTCACCATAAAGCCAAACTCCCATAAAGACCCCGAGCTTCAATGTACTCACTTATTGAAATCATCAAATACTTATGTCAATTCAAATACAATATAATTAATTAATAAATAAGTCGAAAATATAAGTCCCTAAAAATACACGAATTCAGTATGGGTCCCACTATCATCCGGGTGACGTGGCAGATACAATGCAAATTAGACGGGGAAGGAAGGAAAACTAGAGAGGGTCGAAACCGATCACAATTCGCACGGAAGAATCTCGTCCAGAACCAGAACCAGAACGACCAATCCTCTCTCTCTCTCTCTCTCTGCGTTGCCCTTCCATGAAATTAAAGCTCCTTCTTTATCAAATAGTTGAATACAGATCGAAAACAAACCCTAATCTTCCCTGTCAATCACTTCTCTATCCTCTCCGACCTATCCAATCCAATGGCCTAACCAAATGGAGAATTCAATGATAAAAAATCTACCTCCACTCTCTTATCTATCACCCTCAGCCATATCTTTCCTGGACTCCAAACACCACGCTGGAGACGACCTTCAACAAGCTCCGAGTCTCCTCTTGGAGCTCCAGACTGAGTGTCATAATTTGGATCAAAGCCTCTTAGATCTCAATCAGAAACTCCAAAACAGTCTAATCGCTTACGCTTCGCATGGGGATCGAATTGGTGTCCTTTTCGGCTATATCAATGCCCAATTGATCAATCTCCAATCCTCCACTTGCGTTTCTGGTTCTTCATCAGGTTATTAAATGCACACACACACACACACGCACATACACATATTATATGTAGATATATCACTATGTTCAGGTACAAAACCTACGTTGGTATTTATATGTACATAGTATAAATTGTGTTTTATTTGGAATTGGGTGTACAGATGGAGGATCGGAGCATATATTGGGGGAGGAGCTACCAGCGCTGGCGAAGGAAGTGGCGAGGGTGGAGACAGTGCGAATGTATGCAGGTGAGTTGTGGTTTTCTTCTTTTTCGGACGTATATTTGACTAATTCTGAACATTTTTTTTGTTTATTGGATGGAAGTGTTGGTTAATTAATTTGATAGGTATGGAATTGCATTCTGAAAAGAAAAATAGAATGTACTAATATTGAAATATTAATGGATGTCATGTGAAATTTTTATTGGGTATTTAGCTGTTGAGGTAGCTTAAACCTTCTTTTTTGTAGATATCCGAAAAAATGAGAGAAGAGTACTAGGTGAGACGTGGAATGAACTAAGAGCGTATATGAAAACTGAAAGAGATCGTGCAGAATAAACATTTGGTAGTTTCATTTGACAATAAACATTTTGTTGCGGTAGTTTCATTTGAAAATAGTTTCTCTGGGATTGTAGTGTAGAATTTTAGCTAGTGTGTCATTATTCCTAGGAAAGATAGCAAGGGAAAATCCAATTTTTACCTTATTGGGAAAGAGGGAAACATGTGCTTCTTGCTTCAGCACTGTGTTCTCTATGTGCTTGTTTTTTTGGGGGGTGGGGGCATGGGGAATTTCAGCAATTTCATCACATCTATCTTAGCAAACTAGCATAATCTTCCTGCTCCACCATATTTGGGCATCAGTGCTTCTGCTTAGGCTGTTAGGCATTCATCTAGCAAAGCAAATATAGGCAGGTAGTTTTTAGCACAATGGTTGGTGTTTTCCCCTCATTGTAAGCCCTGAAATCTAATGCAGTCATACATATGGGGAGAGATCTTATTGGAATTTAAATTACAAGATGGTCCTGTAATTTCCAAATATCAAGGTTGGAAAGATATGGGAAAGATAAAATGATACAATATGTAGAGTTTTCATGGGTAAGGTCTGTTTCCACGAAAAATTCTAGTGCTTAATCAAAGTTTTGCTGTTGAAGCTCCAAAGAAGCTTTTGTCATCTTGGGAGTTAGGTAATTGATATAATCAGAGCCTAGTATTTTACCGCCAGTATCTTTCTCTTCTTGTTCTTTGTTGACACGGCTATCCTTTGATTTTGCCAAAGTCTTGCCATTTCTCACCTATCAATAGGGAGAAAAAAAGTCTTTATAATGTTAAGGAGGGTTCCTATATACCAAACTAAGATAGGCAATGAAGATTCCCCAAATGTGTGAGGTTCGACATTTGACAAGCTACTTATGCCAGATTTGTTATTGGGTAGCAGAAGAAGAGGGCATTGTGGATTGATTTGGGCTTTTTGTGTGTCCAGAGTGATGGCAAAAACATATGGCTTTAGGTTTTATAAAAAGTATAAGAGAAGGGCTAGGCTTTGAGGGTTTGACGTAGGGAAAGAAAGCGAAAGTACTTGAGAGCTCCATGGATGGTTCTTGTGATCTGGTTGTTTTGTTCTAGATTCTAGGGTTGAATGCTTAATGATGGATGAAATTTGACGTCAACATGCGATTGATGCTTGCTGGATTTTGGAATTGTGTGGCAGATTCTGCAGAAAATTAAAGAAATAATAACTGAAGAACTCTAAGCATCACACTTGGGGCTTGAATTGAATTATAAAATCTTAATGAAGCTTCAAACGCTCTCAAAATTTCTCTAAACTAATCTTTATAGACTAATAGCAGTGTTAAATCATGCTGATAAAAAATAAGCTAATATATTTCTTTTAATATCATAGGTCTTTGGACACCACATTAGGAAACTAAATAATCTAATCCATGAAAACCTAAATGAACTGGCTAAACCAACAAGATCCAAGGTTTCTCCTTGAAATCTTACCTTTGTTAAGATGTTATAAATTGTATAATACCAGCTAAGAACATATGGAAATTTCTTGAAACACCAATTTTTAAAATTTATGTCGGGTTTTGGAGGTTGTTTCTTAGTTT